GCTTCTGTGTGGCAGGGAAACCGAGGCACGAGGTGGTCTCGTCCCCAGGAGGCCAAGCCCAGCCCCAGCCTCTGGGCAGGAGCCCTGAAGGACTCAATCCAGGGGCTGGGGGTTAGACTAAGGCATCCAGCGATGACAGTCAGATGCCAGCACCAGGGCCAGAGCCGCAGGTACACGGGCAGGACCCGTGTGCACCCCGCACACCCCTCCTGCGGCCACATTTGTCACAGGTCATTTCAGCAGGTACCCCCGTTCCCGGGCTGCACCAGCCTTGGGGGTGCAAAGCTGTCTGGCGCTGTCCTGAGCTGCAGGTCAGCCACACCCCTGGCCACCCCTGCCCTCCCGGCACCCCTCCCAGCCTCTGGTCTTCTCTGGGGTGAGGGGACCCATTTTGACTCCAAGGGCCCTGACGGGTGCTGGTGGGGGCTGTGAGGCCCGATTCTCCAGAACACAGGACAGATGCTGGGAGTCCTCCAGGTGGGCTTCATCCTGGCCCCCCAGACACCATCAGTGGGGGTGTGGGCACCCCCCCACCCCCCACCCCCGTCACAGGCTTGCTGGTTGCCCTGACACAGGAGGCTGGACCAGGTGGCCTGAGGAGCTCAGGGCCCGGGGCCGTGGCAGGGCCAGCCCAGGCAGCAGGCGACAGGCTGCACTTGGGACCCACGGTGACCCCGTCGGGATGGCTCTGCCAAGCGGGACGGGAACTGCCCACCACTCCCCGCAGCGTGCCCAGTCCCAGGCCTTCCTCCTGTGGCTGCTTCTGGAGGCTTCTGGGCCTGGGGAGGCCCTTGTGTTATAGACGAGAAACTGGGTGCAGGAGGGGAGCTGATTCCCTCTAAGGGGGTGAGTGGCATCCCCCAAAAGATAGATCACGTCCTCACCTGGGCTGTGAAGGGACCTTGTTTGGAAACGGGGTCTTTGCAGATGATGTGGATGAAGGATCTCGAATGAGGTCACGCTGGGTTAGGGCGGCCCGACCTCCATGCCCGCTGGCCTCGTGACAGGCCGGAGAGGGTCGCTGAGACGGCGCCTGGGAGGAGGGCGGGGGTCGGAGCGGTGCGGCTACGCGCCAGGCAGCCCCAGAACTGGGAGGGGGGTGAACCATTGTTCTGAGATACCCCGTGGCTGGGAGCACTGACACACACCCCAGAGCCGCAGGTGGGGCTGCTGCAGGGTGGGCCGGACCCCAGCACCCCAGGATCCAAGCCCAGCTTTGCAGCTGACCGCGGGGCCAGTGAAGCCAGAGGCTTCCTGTCTGTTCTGTTCCGTGTGGTGGACTGGGAACGGAAGCTGGGACGTGCCGAGGCCCAGCTCACCCTCCCCCTGGGCCCGCACGCCTGGGCGGACCGTGTCTTCTGAGGTGACCTACAGATTTGTGCGTTTAAATCGCACGAGTCAGAAATGGAAACAGGCCGTGGGGCCCTCTGGACACCGGTCTTGGCACATCGGCTGATGGGGCGATGCCACCTTCACACCGAGAGCAGGGGTGGAGCGAGCTGGCGGGCTGAGTGGGAGGTGGGGGAGCTGGCGTGAGGTCAAGCCCACTGGGGTCACAGAGGTCTGTGAGCACCGAGAGAAGGGAGGGAGCTGGCGCCGTGGGGTTCGGGTGCACACTGCCTGTGCCCTGCTGGGGGACTCCAGGCCATGGGGAGGCGGGCGCGCCGATGTGGGGGCGCTCGCGTGTGCCGCCTCTGTATGGGGGTCAGGCCGGCCTGCAGGGGGGGCCTCCTGCTGGTCCAGCCCCGCCCTCCCCGACAGCTGCGAACTGTACCTCGGGACCCAGCTGCCGCTGCGGCCAGTTCTGGTGTCCTCAGCGGCCACCCAGGGGCTGGCCCGGCCTGTCCGTCCCCAGCCGAGCTGAGCCCTGCCTGAGGCAAGGGAGAGTGCAGCCGTGGGGCGGCCTGAACACACGCTTAGAGAGGGAAGGCAGTCACAGCAGCTGCCACGCGGCACGACTTGTCCACGTGAAATGTCCAGAACCCACAAACACAGAGGCAGGAGGTGGATTCGTGCCTGGGGGCCAGGGTGTGGGTGCCAGTGGGTGCAGGTTTCTATTGGTGGTGGCGGGATGCTCTGGAACTAGATAATGGGGTGGGGGGAGGCGCACAGCTTGTGAATATAGTATCCACCGCTGACTTGAGCACTTTAAATGGGTGGATTTGATGGTATGTGAATTCTCAAATTTTTAGAAAGAGGAAGTATTGAGAGATAAAACTGTGGTTAGCAAACACGTTTAAAAATCAAAGCTGGTGGCCCTCAGCCCTGCCTTCTGCGAGGCAGTGGGACGCGTGTCCAAGACGGCTCTGACGGGTGGTCTCTCAGGAGCCACACGCCCGTGGTCAGGCTCAGGGAGCGTCCCCAGGGTGCCCGCTGGACCACGGGGTCAGGCATCGCCTCTGCTCTCTCCTCCCAGCCTCCTGCGCGAGCAGTGGATCCGGGCAAAGTACGAGCGGCGGGAGTTCACCGACCCCGAGAGGCAGGAGCCCTACTCCGCGGGTAAGGCGGGCGCCTCTGCCCTCCCTCCTGCCTGTCTCTCTGTCTCTGTGTCTGTGTCTCTGTCTGTTTCCTCCTCCCCGAGCTGCAGAATTATGAACCTGGGTGACTGGTTAACCGGCCTGAACACGTGTCCAGCCGCTTGGCCTGCTGACACTGAGCTGGGTGGCCCAGTGTCAGTCCCCTGACCGAGCGGGTGGGGTGTGGGGACACGCAGGGCTGCGGCCGGGAAGGTCTCCCTGCTCTGGGGTGGCCTACAGGGTGAGCGGGTCCTGGGGGGCGGGGGGGTGGACAGGTCTCTGGCCCAGGTGTGGGGCCGAGAGGGGACACTGTGCAGGCGCCCCGAAGCCAGGGATGGGCCCGGCTGACCGGAGGCTGTCAGCACCACGGCTTCTGCTGCCAGGAATGGCGTCCTGTTCAGAGCAGGGAGCGCACAGGGTATGAATGGATAAGGGCTCCGTCTGTCCGTGCACTGGGGTGAGCCCTCTGCCATCCACACGGCCGCTCGTGGGGTAACTGGCTCCCTGTCCAGGCGGTGGTTGCGAGGCCGGGAGGGGCCCTGCCTGCAGCCTCTCCTGACCCCCCGCCCCTAGCTCACGGCCAGTGTACGGTCTTGGTTCAATTCCTGTCCACCCCAGCAGTCCTTTCACCCTGTGCTGATGGTCCCCAACGTGGGACATGGGCGTCTGTGTCTGTTCTGCTCCCGGGACTCCCCACGATCCGTCCCAGCCTGAACCCCAGCCCACTTGCTCCGGAAACCCCAGGAAGGCTCAGCCTTGGCTCCTTGGTCTCCCCGGCATACACGTCTTAGCACCTGAGACCAACATGGCGTGCAGCCTCATTTCGGAGGTGGGGGCAGGCTGGGCCGATACAACCACACCACTGAATTTTTGTGTGTTTTCACATCGGCACGCTCTGGTTGTAAGCGACAGATGTCCAACTCAGGTGTGAGGAAAACAGGAAGTGCATTGGCTGACACGGTGGGCTGGCTTCAGGCACAGCTTGATTTGGGGTTCCGTCAGCGCTGCCGGGACTGGGCTCTGCCCCTTGGGTCGGTGCCTGTGCTCCCGGGGCAGGTTCCCTCCAGCAGGTCCAGGTCGTTTCATCCCTCACACAAGTTCTCTGAGCAAAGGGCGTGTGAGGACAAGGCCCGTCTCGGGCTCTGGCTGGTCAGGGCCGGGTGTGTGACCCTGTGGCGATGACCAGGGAGGTGTGACGTGGGCTGCCTTGGGAACCAGGAGTGCTCCTCGCGAGAGCCGGGGTTTGGGTTCCAGAGTGGGGCGTGCACGCAGGGCGGCCAGCTCCTGGCCTTGTCCATCACAGGCCTCTGGCGTGTTTGGGTGTCAGTTCCGGGCTTGGTCAGCTGGGCCGGGCCTCTCCCTGTGCCCCCCCCCACCACCACAGAGCTGGGGAGGAGGTGACACCTGAGAAGCTAGGAAGGCTGGCACCCCCCAGGTGAGCAGTCCCTGGCACACTGGAGGGCCGGGCTCCCTGCTGCTGCCAATCGTGCCTCCTGGTGCCTCGCCGCTCTCCCAGCAGCCCCCAGGCTCACGAGTCATCCCTGGGCTGGCCTCCGGGCTCCCCTCGAGTGCAGGAGACCGCGGGCCTCGTCCCTGGTCCCCACAGAGGGGCGGCAGCTGCTGTTGAAGGCGGGGCCATGAGGGGCTAGTTACAAGCCCCACACGGGGACCCTGAATGAAGCACTGTGTCCCCTCCTTTTCTTTAAAGCCATCGCCCCCAGGATGTTGATACCCCAGGCCCTGTGCCTCCCGCAACGGCCCTTCCAGCCAAGCCTGAGGTTTATAGGAAGGGAATCCTGGTCTCTGCCTCCACTGACACCCTCCCTAAGCCACCCTCAGGGCAAGGTCACCCTCAAGCTCACGTGGGGAGGTGCCCCAGAGGTTCCCCCGCCATGGTCCCGTGTGAGGTTCCTGCCCATGCTGCCTCTGAGTGTCACTTGCTCATGGCAGAGACCCCGCTGTGCCTGTGCCGTACACGCCCAACGGTCTCCCCCCAGGATGGGGGGCAGCGCCAGGCACATGCAGCTCCCCACCACCAGCCTCGCGCCGCCTGGCTGCCCAGCACCCTGCTGGGACAGAGGGGCAGGCCCCCAGTGTCCAGGGTGGGGCACACGGCACCCGAGCGCCTCCTGGGGGGGACTCCCAGGCCTTGCCAGCACCCCTGCCCTGTGGGTGTCCCTGTGAGCGGGGGTTCCCGTGGGCACTTCCTGCCCGGCCCTGGCTTTGCCACAGAGCACTTTCTCACCCACAGAATGCGGAAGTCCGCCAGGAGGGAGGGCAAATGCAGGGTTTGGGGAGGGCCTGGGCCTGACCTGCGCCACCGCAGGCTGCTGGGGCCCTGTGAGGAGCCTGACAGTCCGCTCTGGGGGTCCCCGGGGGTGTTGGAAGTGGGGGCAGTGGGCTACAGGGTGGGGTCAGATGCCAGGCCGCAGGGCGGGCCTGCCGGGGCGCTTGTCCCCGCCAACGCGGCTCCAGCTGGGGCCTCAGCTGAGCCCAGGGCTTCACAGGAGGGCGTCCTTCAGCCCGGCCTCTGAAGGGCAGTTCAGGCAGCACGGCGAACGGCGATAGCCCCGATTCTAGCCCACAGGATGAAGTGGATTTCCAGGGTCCACACCGACAGAAAGAACCAAACCAATACGAGAGGAGGGGAGGACGGGCAGCTTTCTGACAACGGAAATCCAGCCAACAGACGTGGAAGGCACATGCAAAGGGGAAGTCCGTCTGTGGGACCCAGCGACACCGTCGTAGGCAGGACCCACAGTGGTCGCCCCGACCCGAGGGCGGGGGGCAGGCACACAGCACTGGTGGCCTCAGGGGACTTCCCAGGACACTGCTGAAGACAAAAGGACAAGGACTCACTTCCCACTGGAGAGACCAGCAGACTCCCTTCTCCGGGTGACCGAGTCCCTGTCACCGCCACGGGCATGACGATGCCCACTGAAAATGCATCACCTCGCCCAGTCATGAGAAGACGTCCGACAGTCGATCCAAGGGACACTGGACAGAACACCCGCCCAGCAGCCCTCAAGAGCGTCAAGATGGAGGAACCGAGAGTGTGCGGAGGCTCCGTCAGCAGGGTCCCGGGGACCAGGGAACCAGGGCAGTATTTGGTCAGGAACGTCACCCCAGGTGACTGCCTGGCTTTGAGGCCTGGTCACGGGTGGGCTGTGTCTATAGCGGGCCCGGGGGGCAGAGGGCCAGCGGCGGTCTCCCTCTCGTCACCGAGCACCTACATATGAGCACTGCCAGGCCACACAGGAGCTGGTGTCAGGGAGTGAGCATTGTGGCAAGGGCACCAGGTTCCAGGGGGACCCGACGGGCAGGTGCCAGCCTGGCACTCCCCACGGCCTGAGCCCTGCGCTGCTGCCTTGACCAAGGTCGCTGGTGAATGGGGGCACCTGGGCTGGGCCCCCTGCGTCCCTGCCAGCTGGGGCTGACCCTGGGTGACAGCTGCTCCCAGCTCCCACCCCACGCCGACCCGCCTTCAGCCCGAGCCTCAATGGCTGCCTTTCACCCGTGGACAATGCCCCCCGTTGTCCAGAGGGCCAGGCGCGCAGGCTGGCCCCAGTCACCGACAGACACAGCACTTCCTGCCGAGCTGTGGACCCTGCTCTTCCCGGGGTCTTACCCCATCTCCTCATGCTCCCCTCCCCGCCCCCCCAGCTGCCTGGCTGTGCAGAGCCAGAGCTGTGTGCTGCCACCTCACCCCCACCTCTGTCCTGAATGTCACAGGGCAGACAGAGCCCTGGGGGCAGGGGCTTTCTGAGGGAGTGACAGAGCCCGCCTCTGTGTCTCAGTTTCCCCATGTGTCGTGGGGGACCTGGTGCCCAATATGGGGTTGTTTTTGGAAGCATTAAGAGACGTCAGTGCAGGGCACAGAGGGCTCACGGCACCGCTGGGGTGGCTGGTGGGGTCGGGTCGAGTGACGGCGGTTCTGCGGTTTAGCTGGGCGGTGGGAGGGGCCATCTCTGCCCCTCCCCAACCGTGACCCAGGCAGGCTCCCCACTGGACTCAGACCGTGAACCCCACTTCCTGGAAGCACTTTCCACGTTCTTGTGTTGGAGCCCATGTGTGGGTGTCAGGGTTTGGGGCATGTGGACAAGGAGGGGTGCTCTTGGTTTAATCTGACCCCGAGGGGGTGGCTCCCCAGCCCAGGTCTGCCGGGTGCTGGGCACTTGTGGGGGCGGGGGGGGGGCGCTCACGCATCTGGGGTGGGTGGGAGGTTCCTGCGAGCCAGCACCCTGTTGGCTGGTGAGCGTGGGGATCTGTTTCTGGTGCGCTCGCCCGGTGCTGGGTGCTGCAGGATCACACGGGGCAGTGGTGACGCTGGGGAGCACCAGCTCATCCCCCCGGCCTCGCTGTCAGCCGTCTCCCTCCTGGGGACCAGGACTTGGTCCCCAGTTCCCTGCTGGCTGCTGTGTGACTGCACAGGTCAGGCAATGTCTCCGGGCCCCGATAACAGGGACCCGCAGGCCAGAGACCGCCCCTGGCCGCTGCCACAGCCCATGTCCAGTGGGGCCTCCTGGCAGTTCCTGGGGGTGCGCTGGTGTTGAATGAATGAGTGAAGGAACGAACAGATGAACGAAGGCACGAGAGCAGGCATGTGGGGAAGTGTCCCCGTACCGGGCACCCGGTGACGGGAGTGACGGCGTCAAGTGCCTGAGCACACGCTGTGGACGTGCTGCAGCCCCGGGGGCTGGGCCCTGAGAGCAGCCCCACGCCTCGCGGCCGCCTGCACCCACAGTGCAGCTCGCTCCTCAGTGCGCAGCGGGGCCCGAGTCCCGACAGCCCAGTTCCCCAGCCGAGGGACAGCGGTCCGAGTGAAGCCACTGCCAGCACTGTTGCCAGGCTTCCATGTGAACAGCTTCCATGTCTCGCTGGGTTGCATCCTGTGTCACTGTTTTCCAGGGTGGCTGCAGCCCCTCCCCCAGCGCAGGAGGCTCCCAGGCTGTGTGCGCTCCCACACTCGGGACATCAGTTTTGGGGTTTGGTTTGGCAATTCCAGTGGCTGTGCAGTGGTCTCTTGTCTCCACTAGCACTCAGAATCTCTTCCTGAACCTGTACCAGGCACAACACGGGTTTGCTCTGTGGGGCGTGGCAGTGGGCTGGCTCCTCCGCGCGCTCTGGAGCCAGCACACAGTAGGTGCTGGCACACAGTAGGGCCCAGCACCTAGTAGGCCTGGGCACACAATAGGTGCTCAATAAATGCTGAGTGAACCATCTGGCCTCCACCCCAGGATGGGCCAGCTCTTTGGGAGACTTCTCACACAGCGGGCTCCAGGTGTGTGCCAGGAGGCCCCACTGGGCACTGCCCCACTGTGCAGCCTGGAGAGGCCCCCGTTGTGGGGCGCAGTCGGCAGTAGCAGTGGGGGCAGAGTGACAGACCCCTCAGGCCTGGACCGTGCTGCTGAACGCTTCACAGTGACGGCATGAGCTGGAGCCTGGAGTCTGGGGTCCAGATGCTTAGGCCTGGGCCTTCCTGAGTGAGGCGAGGGGCCTGCGGCCTGGGCAGGCGTCCACCCCCACGCCCGTTCACTCTGAGGCTGAGAGAGGACGCTGCCTTCGGGCCAAGGGCCAAACAGCTGTCCAGCTGCTGGGACCATGCACGTCAGGGACCCTGGCCAGCGCCCCCCGAGAACACCACAGCTGCTGTCCCAGTGTCTGGAGGTGGGCGTCCCGGCAGCTGGCTTGGGACCCAGACAGGCTCAGGCAAGGGTTCCCTTCGTCCCTCCGTGTGGCCTGGGGACATGTAACAGCCAGTGCAGAAGTGTGGGGTCAGGAGCGTGGCACCATCCGCCTGGCTGTCTCACCCCGTCCACCCAGCGTGTCCTGAGGCCCTGCTGCCACCTGCTGGCCCTCACGGGCAGTGCAGGCCGGCCAGGGCTCCTGGCCTCTTGAGAGCGGCTTCCTGCTGGGGCTCCTGTTGGGTTCAGCTCCAGACCGTGCTGGCAAGGTGACCTTGGACCAGGACTTCACGTCTCTGAACCTCAGTTTCCTGTCTGTCCGGCGGGGACAGTAACAGGCTGTGCCTCAGAGGTCCTCCTGGGGACATTATGAGAGGCTGCGTGTCAGGGGCTGGCGGGCGTTTCCTGGGCTACGCGAAGCCGTGCCGGAGGCACCCTGTGCCCACCCTCAGCGAACACAGGGTCCTGGGCTCAGATCAAGTGGTGGCCCCCAGCCTGCTCCACAGGCCGTCTGACCCATGTGCTCTCTCTCCTCAGGATACCGAGAGGGCTTTCTCTGGAAGCGTGGCCGGGACAATGGGCAGTTTTTAAGCCGGAAGTTTGTGCTGACTGAACGAGAGGGGGCCCTGAAGTATTTCAACAGAAATGATGTGAGCGGCCTGGGGGTGGCAGGTGGGGGGCCCGTCCTGGGGCAGCATCCTGGCCTTCTGTTCGAGGGCCTGTAGTGGCTGGACACTGGCCCCTGGACAGCAGTGCCAGGTCCTCAGCTGCCCTCATGCAATTCCTGGGAGCCGTGATCCCCTGTTCCTTAGGGACACCCTCATCCACTCCTCGGGGCCAGGCCTGGGTTGGGCCCTTCCCTGGCAGGCACTCCCAGGTCTGAGAGGAACAGAGGGGACTGGCTGCAGTCAACAGCAACCCCACCAGGAAAGCACATGTTGGGGTGACAGTGGCGGGTGGGAGGGTTCTGTAGGTCCTGCAGCTGGCAGAGCCCCTCAAGACCAGCTCCAGGTCACATCGCCCGTGATACAAACAACCACGGGAGATCGTGGCCACAGCCCCGCCGCCCCTGCCAGCCCCCAGAGCAAGGAAAGAAAGGAAGTCTGGCAGCAGGGCGGTGCAGGGTGAGGGGGTGACCAGACAGCAGCCGTGTGCTGCAGGGGCTACGGCGGCGTCTGCCGGATGTTGAGTGCCCGTCTGTGTCCCCTGGGAGGGGGTGCTGTTACCATAAACTTAGACCAGGGAACCCAGGCCCAGAGAGGGTAAGAAACGTGCCCAAAGCTGCACAGCACAGCAGTTGTGCTGCCATACACAGAGCCCACCTGCCTGTACCCTTGAGCTTGGACCCTCCCCCCACCCCCCACCTGGCACTGAGGTCCCGTGTGTTTCCCAGGCCAAGGAGCCCAAGGCCGTCATGAAGATTGAGCATCTGAATGCGACCTTTCAGCCGGCGAAGATAGGCCACCCCCACGGCCTGCAGGTCACCTACCTGCGCGACAACAGCACCCGAAACATCTTCATTTACCACGAGGACGGGAAGGTGGGTGCAGGGCCGGGCTGTCTCAGGGGAGCCCAGGGCCACCAGCCCACTCCTCCGGGGCCTGTAGGGAGAGGACCGCAGGTCCATGTGGAAGAGGGGGTGTCCAGTGTCCCCCCGGCGGCTGACCCACCTCCCCCACCCCCCAGGGCAGCCACCCTTCAGCGGTCCTTTTCCTTACTGTGGTCAAACACACACAACGTAAAATTGCCCATTTGAACCGTTTTAAGTGTCCAGTTCAGGGGCATTAACCCCACTCGCGTTGTGTGGCTGTCCCCACCGTCCATCTTCACTTTTCCATCTTCCCAAACTGAGACTCTGTCCCCATGAAACACTAACCCCCTCGCCTTCCCCAGCCCTGGGCACCCACCATCTACTTCCTGTCTCTGAGTCTCACTCCTCTAGGTCCTCGTATCAGTGGGGTCACACAGTGTGTGTGCTTTGTGACTGGCTGATTTCATCAGCAGTGTCCTCAGGGTCCATCCACGCTGCAGCAGGTGACAGAATTCCTTCCTTTCTAAGGCTGAGTAACGTCCACCGTGTGGCTGGACCCCATTTGTCTGTCACTCACCTGTCGGTGGACACGGGGCTGCTCCCGCCTCCTAGCGACTGTGCCCAGTGCTGCCGTGGACGTGGGGTGCAGGGATCTCTGAGACCCCGCTTCCTGTTCTTTCGGGCGCAGACCCAGAGGTGGGATCGCCGGGTCACATGGTGGTTGTGTTTAATTATTTGAGGACCCTCCACACTGTTCCCACGGCAGCGGCACCGTTTCACGTCCCCTCAGTGTGCACAGGGTTCCATTTCTCCACGTCCTCGGTGGCACTTGTTTCTGGCGCTTTGGTTTCAGCCATCCCCGTGGGTGTGTGGTGGCCTCACTGTGGCCGTCGTCCCCCTCTTCCTCGTGCCTGGGGTGGCGAGCACCTCGTCATGGGCTCCTTGGCCGTTCTTGAATCTGTACGTCTGTTCAAGTCATTTGCCTATTTTTTGAATTGGGTTTGTTTTAGGAGTTCTCTCTACATACTGGATTTTAATCCCTCATCAGATATATAATTTACAAATATTTTCTCCCATCCTGTATGGTGTCTTTTTACTCTGTGACAGTGTCTTTTGATGCACAAAATTGTTCAATTTTCATGAAGTCCTATTTGCCTATTGTTTCATTTGTCACCTGTGCCTATGGTGTCATAATCAGGAAATCATTGCCAGATCGAATGTTGTGAAGGCTTTGTCCTGTTTTCTTCCAAGAGTCTTATTGCTTAAGGTCTTCCATCTAGGTTCTTGATCCATCTTGAGTTAATTTGTGTGTGTGACGCGAGGTGAGGATCCGACTGCATTCTGTAGCATGTGGACGCCCAGTGCTCTCAGCACCATGTGTTCAAAAGCCTGTCCTTTCCCCATGGAATGGTTCTGACATTCATGTCAAATATGATTTGGCCGAGTACGTGAGAGCTGATCTCTGGGCTCTCTGTCCTAGTCCACTGGTCTGTCTGCCGGCACTGCACTGCTCTGATTACTGGGCTTTGTAGTAAGTTTTGAAATCAGGAAGTGTGAGTCATCCAGTGTTGTTCTTCCTTTTTAGGATTGTTTTTTTTCTGGTTCTGTTGAGATTTCATATCAATTTTGTCAAATGCTTTTTATGCATCAGTTGAGATGACCATGTGTTTTTTTCCCCTCTTCTGTTAATGTGGCGCGTTATGTGGACATTACTGTTGGCCCATCCTTGCATTCCAGGAACAGATCTCACTTGTCCTGGTGTAGAACCCAAAACATGCTGCTGAACTCCGTTCACTAGTATTTTGTTGAGGATTTTGCATCGATATTCATCAGGGATGTTGGTCTGTAGTTTCTTTTTCTTGCAGTGTCTCGCCTGACTTGGGCATCAGGGTTATGCTGGCCCCATCAATGAGGTAGGAAGTTTCCCTCCTTTCAGTTTTATGCAGAAGTCTGAGGAGGATTGGTGGTAGTTCTTTAAATGTTTTGTAGAATTCTCCAGTGAAGCCGACAGGCCCAGGGCTTTTCTTTGTTGGGAGATTTTTGCTTACTGATTCAATCTCCTTTATCACTTGTAGGTAGGTCTATTCAGATTGTCTAGTTCTTTGTGATTTAGTCTTGGTAGGTTTTGTGTTTCCAGAAATTTGTATTTCATACAGGTTATCCATTTTGGGGGTGTACAAATTGCTCACAGTACACTCTTATAATCCTTTGTATTCCTGTGGAATTGGTAGTAATGTTTGTTTATGATGTGTCTCAGCTGGGGCCCCTTTGAGTTCTTCTTAACTAGAGTTCATTGAGCTTCTTGGATGTTTTATTTGTATCTTTCATCAAACCTGGGACGTCTTCTGCCGTTGGTCCCTGAAATGCTCTCTCGCTCCTCCTGGGACCCCCGCAGTGCATCTGCTGGTCCTCCTGACGGTGTCCCACGGGTCCCTTAGGTCCTGTTCACTTTTTTTCTGCCTGTTTTCTGTCTGTTCCTCAGCCTCGGTAACTTCCCCTGTCCGAGCTTCAAGTTCACTGCTTCCTTCTTCTGTGCTGCATCTGCCTTTGAATCCCTCTAGTGAGTTTTTTCATCTCAGTTACTGTACTTTTAGCTCCAGAATTTCTGTTTGGTTTCTTTTTAGGTTTTCTGTCTCTGTATTGATAGCTCTGTTTTGTTCGCGTGTTGTTTTCTTTCGGTTCTTTGAGTGCCTTGATGACAGTTGTTTTAAAGTCTTTGTGTAAGATATCTGCCATTAACTCTTCTCAGGGACAGATTCTGTGAATTAGTTTTCCTTTGAATGGGCCATACTTTCCTGTTTGTTTGCATGCCTTGCGATTTTTTGTTGAACACTGGACGTTTGAACCTAATAGTGTGGTAACTCTGGGAATCAGATTTTCCCCCTACCCAGGGTTTGCTGTGTTTTGTTATTGTTTGTTTTGTTGTTGTTTAGGCTGTTCTGTGCTGAGGATCAGTCTGAGGTGTAAATGTAATGACAGCCTCTGGCCCTAGGGTGGGAGGAAGGACCCCGAGGACTGAGCGGTGCAATGGATTGGGGTTGGGGGCCCCAGGGGTGAGCTGGAGTTCTTGGCAGGGGTCAGAGTACAGAGGGGGGCATTGAAGCACTGGCCTGCCTTGGAGGGGCAGGGCCTGGAGGGGCAGCTGTGGGGGATCCGTCCGTAGTGGGCGGGTCCTTGAAGGGCGTGGCCAGGGCCAGAGGCGGGGCCGAGGTTCAAGGCAGGGCTGGAGGAGGGCGTGGCCATGGTGGCCGGGGCGGGGTGTGGCCGAGCGGGTGTGAGGCGACCCAGCAGGCGGGGGTGATCAGCGAGGACTGGAAGGGTTGGCTGGCCTGCAGATGACCCTTTGCTGGCACTGGCGAGGTGCCATCAGGGGAAGCAGATTGTTGGGTTCATCCGGGTTGAGGGAGCCCAGCACAGAAAGGCCGGGGAGGGGCGGGGCCGGCACGTCTGTGGGAGGAGCCGGGCGGCGTGCAGAGGCCGGGCTGGGCGGAGCGTCGGCGGGCTGTCCCCACAGCCTCTACCCTCGTCTCTCTCCACCACCCCCAAGGGGCAGGGGCGGGGGCGGTGGGCTGGGTTTTAAATGGACGAGGCTTCTGGGCAAGACGACGTCAGGTCAGAAACAGCCCCCGCCGAACACAGGCCGCGCAACGCGGAGCAGCGCCAGGCCGCGTCCTCCCCGCTGCTGTCGCCCTGCCCGCGCGTCCTCCCAGGCCACCTCAGGGGCTCCCCCGAGCGCCCTCACCCCAGCATGGGCGCTCCACGGGGGCGGCCTGACTGGGTGGTACAGCCTGTCCTCGACCCCGACCCAGGCAGCTGGAGCGGCCGGGCGGGCGTGGTCTGGAGGGGAGGCCCGCGCCCCACCCACTCCGCTCCCCTCCGTCCCCTCCAGGAGATGGTGCACTGGTTCAACGCGCTCCGCGCCGCCCGCTTCCACTACCTACAAGTGGCCTTCCCGGGGGCCAGCGACGCTGACGTGAGTGGCTGCCGCCGCCGGGGCCCCTGGGCTGGGCGGGAGGCTGGCCCAGGGTGCACAGAGACCCCAGGGACCGCTGCCACTGACGCCTGAGATCCCCTGAAGTGACCACAGCCATCCTTCATCCAGAGGCATTTTAGCTTGAGCTGCAGGGGACAGGGAGCGGGGCCGGGGTGCGGGGCGCACGGTGAGGGTGGGGTCAGGCCTGGGGCTGAGCCCATGTTCCACCCCAGCTGGTGCCGAAGCTGACCAGGAACTACCTGAAGGAAGGCTACATGGAGAAAACGGGGCCCAAGGTGCGTCTGACCTGCCGCCCTGGCCTCGGTCATCTGGGGGCAGGCAGGGCTGGGGTGGCCGTGGGGGCTGGCAGTGCGGGCGACTCCCAGGCGAAGCCTCAGCTTGCCTGTCTCTAGCGGGTCACCTTGGCATGGACGGCCGTGGCCCCCGGAATGTTTTACAAGGAACAGGGGCCCCGCGGACCCAGGACCACGGGGGGGGGGGGGGGGGGGGGGGGTGTCAGGCCCCGCCCGATCGTGTACCTGTGACCTTGCTCAGCCCAATCCCGGCCACAGGAGTGACTCAGAGCCCGGGACCCAGGACCCACAATGCAAGCCCCGCCGGAGCCCATGGGGAGTGGGGGGCAGGCCGAGGGGGGGCCAGCAGGGCGCGGGCCCCAGAAGGCGGGGCGGCGAAGAGCTAAGCGGCTGGGTGAGCGTGAGGCGCTGCCCCCTGGTGGTCAGCGGGGGGCGGGGGCCCACGTCACGCCCACCAGCCGCTCCGGGCACACTGACCCGCAGCAAACAGAAGGCTTTCGGAAGCGCTGGTTCACCATGGACGACAGACGGCTCATGTACTTCAAAGACCCCCTGGTAAGCTGGGGCTCCCTGCAGGGTGGGTGTGGCTCCCCAGGGTCCCGGGCCCACGCCCCCCCCCCACTTCCCCAGCACAGCTGGGTCAGGACAGCGAGCTGCCCCGCAAGAACAGCCCCCAGGCCCGGGGGGGGGCGACTCGAGGGGCTGGCCCGAGGCTCAGCCTGCCGCACCCGCAGGACGCCTTTGCCCGAGGGGAGGTCTTCATCGGCAGCAGGGAGAGCGGCTACACGGTGCTGGACAGACTCCCACCGGCTACCCAGGGCCACCACTGGCCACACGGCATCACTATCGTCACGCCGGAGCGCAGGTTCCTGCTGGCCTGTGAGACGGAGCCGGAGCAGCGGGCGTGGCTGGACGCGTTCCGGAAGGTGGTGGACAGGCCCATGCTGCCCCAGGAGTACGCAGGTGAGGGCCGGGCAGGGCTGGTCGGGGGACGGCCGGCGCCCGTGTGGCCGTGCCAAGGGCGGACACCCATCCCTCTTCCAGTGGAAGCCCACTTCAAGCATAAACCCTAACCTGGAGACGGTCCTGGAGGCCTGAGGCGGCGGCGGCTGGACCGTGGGGGCCTGTGGACGGCGGGAGCGGCTCCCGGCCTGACGGCAGCCCCAAACAGCAAGGTGGGGCCCGAGCTTTAGCCACTGGGACCTTTTCTCTGGAACCTCACTGTGGGCCAGCCCGGCCCAAGCTGGTCATGCTGCTGTCCCCCATGACACCTCGGCCCTGCCCCACGCCCTGCCCACTGGACCCCACTTCCCCTCTGAGGGCCTGGCCTCCGGCCAGGGCAGCCCAGCACACCCCTCCTCCTCCTCTCCCTCCCTCGTGCTGCCACCTGCCCACCTGAGTGGGACACCACCGACCAGGAGGCTGGGCCGTGGGGACAGCGTGCAGCCTGCATGCCTCCCAGCCTGGCCCACCTCCACGTCCCCTCACATCCCTCCTACCCCTTCAGCAAGTATTTATTGAGCTGTGTGGGCACGGGGTCCTGGGGGCTGGAGTGGAGGACACGGCCCTCTCCCTCAAGGAGCTGCCCGGGGTGCGCACATGGGGCCCCGGGCACCTGGCTTGGGTGGGGCGACTGGAGGGTCAGCGTGTGCCTGCTGCCCACTGGGCACCTCAGGGGCCCACTCACAGCTTGGTGCTGACCAGTGACACCCCCACCCTGACCTTGCCGTCTGGTCCCTTGGAGCATGGAGCCCACTCACCCACCCGGCCCCCGCATGCCGCTGGCCCACCAGCACTTTCAACCACGGCTCCTCCCGGGTGCCCTGGCTCTGCTGCCCTGGGGGGCGGTGGGTGAGGGACGACGTCTGTGACAGCGTGTGTGGGGGTTACCTGCTGCCGGGTCATCTGGGCAGCCCCCAGGGGAGCCCTGGAGGGAACCAGGAGGGTCCCCGAGGGACAACCAGGGATGTCCTGCCACCCCACACACCTGTGTGACATTGGAATAAAGTGGGGCTCTGATGTGGCTTTGTTGGTGTCGGAGGCTGGGGTGGGGCTCTGGGCCCCAGGAGGACCTGCCCACTGGCCTCACACACAAGCCAGGAAGCGGGGGACACACCCAGGGGAAGGCGGGGGATGGGGCTGCCGTTCCCACAAGCTCCCACCTCCTGCATCTGAGCATAGGGTCCCCCAGCTCAGACCTGTTGTCCCCTGGATAGAGGGGCCCTGGTGCCCGTCAGCTCTGTCCCTCCTGAGCTGAGCTAAAGCCCCAGGGCAGGGTCCCCAAGATGGCTGGGCTAGGGGGGAGCACAGCTGCAGGGCCACCCCCACCCGGGGGGCTGCCGGCTTGCCCCTTCCTCAGAACCCAGGCCACTGCCCCAGCTGCGCTGGACGCCCGTGTCCTGACCCATGTTCTAGATGAGACTCATCTCAAGCCCGAGGCCGGAACACTCACCCTGGTTCCGCAAAGCCCCAGCACTGCACGGGCCGGCCCCCCACCCCTCCCCCCACCCCTCTCTCAGACCCACCCTTACCCTAGAGGTGCAGGCACCTACTTGGCATGTGCGTCACGTGCGCCTGCCCGTGTCGTGTGCACGCACCCACGGGTGCTACCCAGGAAACTGACGACACTTTAAAGAAAGGAGAACAGTGTTATGATTGGCAGGATTTCCCAAACCAGGCGGGACACGCACCCCCACAGGCTGGTCACTGTGCTGACCGGGCACGTCCACGTGGAAGGGGCCACGCCCAGTGCTGCCACCTAGGTCACAGCGCCCGGTCCCCTGGCTGGGGCTCACAGGCCCTTCAGACGGCCCCAGGAGCTCACTCAGAAAGGACCAGTGCTGCAAAGCCCAGTATAAAGGATTTATTTAAACTTAACAATTAACACAAACCTTTTAAACTCCATTTTTACAGTAAACAGAATTGCATACGTCACTCCTTCCCATGCATGACCACTGTATTCATCTACAACTTATTTTAAGTGTGAAAAAATAAAGTGTGTCCCCTCCTGTAAGTATCCTGGGAACGTCTGACGTAGCATCAGTGAAACAGGACAGAGGAGCTTGTTCCTGGACTGGGTATTTGGTGAAAACCTAGAACGTCGGGTCAGAGGGTCTCGCCCAGTGAAATAAATATTGCATCACGAAGGTGGGCAGCCCTGCAGCTCCCTTTGCAAGACGCCAGTGCACGTGCCGTGTGCTCGGCAGCAGGCATGGCTCCCGGGATTTGGCACAGGGTGGCGCCCAGGCACTCTCCAGGACACTGGGGCCGGGCCACCGCAGGACCTTTATGTGGGGTCAGCCTGAGGGCAGCCGCTCCCCAAGCCGTCTGGGATGGGCCTGGGAGCCCACAGCCCCCCAAAGCAAACCAGAGACAGAGGACTGGGAAAGGGTGGTGGCACGAGCCTGTGCTTTATTATGGGTCGAGCTGAGGCGCACGGCAGGGCCACACGGCCCTCGGCTGGGGCGCACAAACACGCCGACCAAGCACGGCAGCCTCAGGACCCGCGGCCGGGCCAGGCCAGCTGCCAGCCCGCCCACCGCGCCCCAGGGCGTCGTCATGCAGGTCCAGGCGGGCGGCGTCAGTCGAGCTCAATGGGGCTGCTGTCGTCCTGACTGTCCTCGCCCTCCTGCTCCGAGGAGCCCATGAGGCTGCTGAGAAGGTTCCCTGGAAGCAAATGCGCGTCAGGGGCCACAGCGGCCGGCAGGGCCCCCTTGACACGCTCAGTGACCCAGGGACCCCACAGCTTCAGTCTCCCCAAAGGAATCCCACGAGGGCACAAAGGCACATGCGGGGTGTTCACGGCGGGTCTTGACGACGGGGGAAAAGGCCCAAGGTGCCCATCAGTGGGGACATGGCACAGCCACCCCAGAGAAGTCTGAAGAGCTGTCACCAGAACAATGTCACGGAAGACCAGGGGGAGGCCTACGAAGCACACGCGTGTGACCTCAGCATTACAGGAACTCACACACCAGTTTCAAGGAGCACACACAGAATGCTAACTGCTGTCCTATGGGGTGCTGTCACCACTGACACCTTTCTTTTTGATTTACCCAATTTTTATCCCAAGAGCAACTATAATGTCAACACAAAATCAAAGTTTAAACGCCCCTTAAGCCACAAGGGATCACAACACATGGGCACGGCTGTGCGGGTAGAAGCCCCGTGCTGCCATTTCACTCAGGCCCACATACACACCTGCGGGAAAGCGACACGCAGGTTCTGACCGAAAGTCATGAGCAGGGTGGTTAGCACACTGACCAGGAGGGACGTCGGGAGCCCATGCCCAACACGATGGACACCCTGCAGAGGCTGGGTGGGTGTGCTGGGGACGCGCGCAGGGCGGCTGGTGGGGTGTGGACAGCTACGTGAACAAGCAAACACCCAGATTGGGCCAAGAGCCTTTAGTTCTCAGGGACAGGAAGGCCTTTCCACCGGGCGCCATCTGGACTCTGGGGCAGGCGGCACCGACTGTACCAAGCTCTGTGGAACCAGCCCCACGGGGGCCTGCTGCCATGTCACCTGGAGCAGCCCAGTGGCAGCGCCAGAAAATCAAGGGGCAGCCCATGCGCGCGGCACGTACTGTGTATTTGCAAAATCACCTCCAGAAGGAAGCCGGGCCCTGCGAGGAGGTGCCGGGTGCGTGTCTGTGAACTACAATTATCCTGCTCGTAACAAAACATAAAACACTAAGGATTACACAAACCACCTTCAGTGAAGGGCTGTGCTGGTCCCGGCCTGGGTGGAGGGTACAAGTTCACGTCAGAACTCAAGAGCAGGCGGGCGGCACACGAGACGGCAAGGGCGGGGCGGGGGGAGCCTGAGACTGCGCCAGGCGGAGCAGGCTGTGGGGAAGCACTGGCTCAGAAACCTGGCCTCCAACACCCGCCAAGACCAACTTACAAAGAAACACACAATCTGAACAGACCTGCAGTGAGTACAGAGGCTGAATCAGCAACCAAACATCTCCCAAAAAAGAAAGGCCCTGGACTAAGCACTTACAGAGAACTACCACGGATCCTTCTCAGGCTTTTGCATAAAACTGAAAGGAGGGAAACTTCCCACCTCATCGATGGGGCCAGCATAACCCTGATGCCCAAGTCAGGCGAGACACTGAAAGAAAAAGAAACTACAGACCAACATCCCTGATGAATATCGATGCAAAAATCCTCAACAAAATACTAGCAAACAGAATTCAGCTGCATATTAAAAGGATTATACATCACAACCAAGTAGGATTTATTCCTGGAATGCAACCATGTTCCCACATGTGAAAATTATCAATATAACATACTACATTAACAGAATAAGGGGGGTGGGGTGGGACCACGATCATTTCGACTGATGCACAAAGAGCATGTGACAAAATCCAACACTCTTTCATAAAGGCATGCAACAAACTAGGACTAGAAGGAAACGACCACATGATAAAAGTCACATATGAAAAATCCACAGCAACAGCATCCTCAATGGTGATGAGCCAAAGCTTTCCTCTAAGATCAGGACCAAGATGAGGATTCCCACTGTCACCCGTTACCCACTACTGTACTGAAGTCCTAGCCAGAGCAGCAATCAGGCAAGAGAAAGAAATGAAAGGCATCCAAATTGGAAACGGAGAGGTAAAATTATCTCTGTTTACAGATAACATGGTAGTATATGTAAAAAACCCCTGAAGATTCCATGTAAGAGCTGTTAGGACTAATAAAGTCAGCAAAGCTGCAGGATACAAAACCAACAAGCAAAAATCAGCTGCATTTCTATACACATTGAACAGCCTGAAAGGGATTTACAAGGATAATTCCAGTTACAATAGCATCAAAAACAAACTATTTTAGAGTTAATAAAGGTGGTGAAAGACTGCACAGTGAAAACAAAACATCGCTGAAAGACAACGTAAGAAAATGGAAACATTCCATGTTCATGGATTGGGAGACTTAAAAACCATTCAAATGTCAATACTGCCTAACGTGATCTACAGATTCAATGCAATCCCTCTCAAAATCCCAATGACCTTTTTTGCAAAAAAACTTCATCCTAAAATTCATATGGAACCTCCAGGGACCCCAAATAGCCAAAACAATCTTGAAAAAGAACAAAGCTGAAGGACTCATACTTCCTGAATTCAAAACTTATTACAAAGCTACAGTAATCACAATGGTGTGTATTGGCATAAAGAGACACACAGAGAACAGGCATATAGAAGAGAATAGAGAGCCCGGAAATAAACCGTCACACATCTGGTCAAATGGCTTTTGAAAAGAATGCCAAGAACATTCAATGGGGAAAGGACAGGCTTTTCAAGGCATAGTGTTGAGAACACTGGATTTCCACATGGAAAGAGTGAAGTTGGACTCTCACATACCCTGTACAAAAAAATAACTCAAAATGTTTTGAAGATTTGAATGTAAGACTGAAAACTATAAAACTGTTAAGAGGGAAACAGGGCAAAAGCTTCATGACATTGGAGGCAATGAATTCTTGGATATGACACCAAAGGCACAAGTAACAAAAGAAAAAACGGACAAACTGGATTTCATGAAAACTTTAAAATTTTTGCATCAAAAGACACTCAACAGAGTAAAAAGACACTGGGGGTGGGGAAGGTGCACGCAGGGGAGCACAGAGCATATTTAGGGCAGGAAACTCCTCTGTATGACACTGTCACCAGGCCACGTGTGACTGTACATCTGTCCAAACCCACAGAATGTGCAACACCAATGTCAACTGTGGGCTCTGGGTGATGAGGTGTCAGTGTGGGTTCCACGGTAACAAGCACACCACTTGGTGGGGGTGTCGCTAATGGGGGGCTGTGCGTGCATGGGGCAAGCAGCATGCAGGAAAGCACTGTACCTTCCTCTCAATTTTCTCTGAACCTAAAACTGCTTTAAAAAAAATGAAGTCTTAGAGAAAAAAAGGCACCATACAGAATGGGAGAAAATATTTGTAAATTATATATCTGATGAGGGATTAAAATCCAGTATGTAGAGAGAACTCCTGAAACAAACCCAATTCAAAAAATAGGCAAATGACTTGAACAGACGTACAGATTCAAGAACGGCCAAGGAGCCCATGACGAGGTGCTCGCCACCCCAGGCACGAGGAAGAGGGGGACAACGGCCACAGTGAGGCCACCACACACCCACGGGGATGGCTGAAACCAAAGCGCCAGAAACAAGTGCCACCGAGGACGTGGAGAAATGGAACCCTGTGCACACAGGGGGCACGTGAAACGGTGCCGCTGCCGTGGGAACAGTGTGGAGGGTCCTCAAATAATTAAACACAACCACCATGTGACCCGGCGATCCCACCTCTGGGTCTGCGCCCGAAAGAACAGGAAGCGGGGTCTCAGAGATCCCTGCACCCCACGTCCACGGCAGCATTGGGCACAGTCGCTAGGAGGCGGGAGCAGCCCCGTGTCCACCGACGGGTGAGTGACAGACAAATGGGGTCCAGCCACACGGTGGACGTTACTCAGCCTTAGAAAGGAAGGAATTCTGTCACCTGCTGCAGCGTGGATGGACCCTGAGGACACTGCTGATGAAATCAGCCAGTCACAAAGCACACACACTGTGTGACCCCACTGATACGAGGACCTAGAGGAGTGAGACTCAGAGACAGGAAGTAGATGGTGGGTGCCCAGGGCTGGGGAAGGCGAGGGGGTTAGTGTTTCATGGGGACAGAGTCTCAGTTTGGGAAGATGGAAAAGTGAAGATGGACGGTGGGGACAGCCACACAACACGCGTGGGGTTAATGCCCCTGAACTGGACACTTAAAACGGTTCAAATGGGCAATTTTACGTTGTTTGTATTTTACCACAGTAAAAAAAGCAAAAGAAAGAGAGACCTGGCCTTTCTGTGGCCAGTGAGAGGGAGCCCAGGGTGACGATTCACCAGGCAGCGACAGGGCTGCTTGGGAATGGCGTGAGGAGGGTCTGGGGGTGGACAGAGATGGGGGCCTGGCCCGCCCGTGCCCCCATGTGGCCCAGCCCCCGGCCTTACCGAGCAAGCCTCCGTAGGAAGACGTCTGCTTGGGTGGTACACCGAAGAACAGCTGTCCTATTCTGTCTAGATACTGGAAGAGACAGGTGTGGGTGCAGCTGAGGAGGGGCGCCCTGGGGCCTCCGCCTGCACCCCACCCCCGCCCAGGCTCCGCCAGCCTCACCTCGTTGTACATGGGGTCCCGCCGCAGGGACGGCTGGTACTGCTCACACAGCACAGTGAACACTGTCAGCTTGCCCCTGGAACGGCACCAGGGCGTCAGTTCTTATCGGACCCCAAGCAAGCCGGACAGGAAACTGGCACCCCCCCCCCATCACACCCACTCACACCCCTACATACACCCCCCCCCAACACACACACACTAAGCCCACGCTCACACCCCTATCCATACACAAATGCTCACCCGTCTACGGCCAACAGCAGAAACCAGATAAAATTGAGCAATGGCTGAACGAAAGGAGGCCCGTTCTCGATGGACGGGTGCTTCTGCGTGTACGTCGTGAAGACCACGGACGCACTGCTCTTGTTTTTCAAACAGAGAAACCTGTAGACAAGAACCCCCTGGTGAGCGGACACGGTGGTCAGCAGCCGGCACGCGTGCGCACCTGTGACCTGCCCCAGGCCGTGTGCCTGTGCGGCGCTGCAGGCAGGGGGTGCTCTGACTCGCTGGGGGCCCAGCGAGCAGGGTCACGACCTACGGGGAGGACAATTAAGCTTGGCAAGGTGACGTGCCCAAGGTGAAATGGTGGGGTTCTCCGCATACCTGCTGTATGCGTTAGGGATCTCAGGGGCGTGAGGCCCCGCGAGGCCGTCCCGCACGCAGCTGGCCCTGGCTGAGGTGTGGGCCGTGGCCATGCTCTGTTAAAGCACAGAGACAGACCTGTGAGAAAGGGGCTGGCCAGTTCGGTCCAGAGAAAATGTCTGTGCCAAATGCCACAGCCAGGGGCAGAGAGTTCAGTTTTAATGTTGGAGCTCGGAAGTTAAGGTGCTGGGAGACACGGCAGGCGTCTGCACCCCACCGCCTGGCACAAATCCCAGTGCCCGGCCAGCACAGGAAAGCGTCTGTGAGAGGGAAAAAACTTCTCCAGGCTGAGACGGGGTCCCCTCTAGGAGGTGCACAGGCTGAAGCCTGGGCTCACTGCACAGCCCCTGCTCTATGTCTCACTATTTCCAAGCTAAACTGTCTGTTGAAAAGAGGACACAGGAGGAGGAGGCCTCAGGGAACAGGCCCAGGGTCCAGTGGGAATGAAATGCTGGTGGCAGTGCCCATGTAGTGAAGTGCTTAGATGCAAAAAACACGTGGGAAGACAACACAGCTCCAAGACACTGCTGGAAACCTAGCAAACCTGCGAGTCCTACAAAAAGTAGTTGCCCGGCAGATAACGGGGGGAAACAAGATGAAAACACCAATGGCAACAGAAGAACGCTGACGTCACGCTGCTCAGCTGAAGCTTCCCAGGTGCCTCGGCCCTGCAGTGGCTCATGGGAGTGAGGGGCCAACTGGGGCAGCACCGTGCAGGCCGCATGGGCGCCGGGTGACCTCAGGCCGGGGGATCCTGGAACCCGGGGAGCCACTTGAGGAGGACCGCCAGGGCGAGCATGGGGCACCTACTGCAGGACGGCCTGGGCCACGAACATGTCCACCTCGCTGCGGAAGCCCCGGGCGGTGGAGTACTCCACCAGCATGTTGGCGCAGCCCTCTCCATCCGCCGAGTGCAGGAAGTGGTACCGGGACTCACAGTAGTTCTGCTCTGCAGGGGGGACAGGAGCCTGTCAACAGCTACAGGCCAGCGCCCCACAAGTATCCCGCCCCCCTCAGGCCCCAAGTCCAGTGAGACAGCTCCCGGGGCCGGTTACGCCACCCAGCTGGGCCGCCGGCACTCCCACTGCAACGTCTGCATTAGCTGAGCCACGAGAAATGGCCAATGGGGCCCTGACCTACACGGAGAGAGAAGGGAGGCCCGGGCCCAGCGCGCCACCCTGCCCTGGCCTCCCTACACAGATGCTTCTCCTCTGAGCAAGTTGACTTCATCAAGAGAGGGTGAACAGCAGAGCCGGCGGTTACACTCAGGCCGGCAGCGCAAAGCCCGTCCTCGTGGCCGGGCCGGCAGCGCAGCGTGCAGCTACCTTTCCACAGGGTGAGGGCCAGCAGCTGGTGCAGCCGGGGGTGGCCCAGTTTCCCCGAGCCGCCACTGGACCACTTCAGGGCTCTGGACACAAAGGCCACGCGCTCCGGAGAGTTGGGATCCATCAAGCCAAACAGTTTAGCCAGGTTTTCTAAAAACAACACGAACAGACCCAAAGGGACACGCTACTGCTTCAGTTCTTCCCAGTGTATCTGAAAGCACTTACATGAAAACAGTTATTTCACTTAAAAAAAAAAAGCTGAAAAGCAGCTGGTGATGTCCTGGTGTGTCCCCATGAGGCCAGTGCTGTTCAGGGCCACCCCCACTGACCTTGGTTCGGCCGCAGAGCGGGCGGCCACGACCCTTCCATGTACCCTCCTCCCCCAGCCATGGCACAGACCACAGCAGGACCCTCCTGGGACTCTGCAGCGGGGGGGCTCACGAGAAGGGCTCCCCCAAGGGGCAGGCCTGTGACAGCAGCACAGTATGAGAGAGAGAGCGAGAGAGAGAGAGAGAGAGAGTGTGTGTGTGTGTCTGTGTGTGAGATCGCTCAGTGAGAGACCAGCTCTGAAACTGTCCCCAGCGCAGGACGAAGCCTCACCCAGGAGCTCATCGGCCACGCCCACGTCCGCCTTCTCCAGGGACTCCAGCACCAGCATGGACAGGTCCGCAGCACTGTTTTGCTGCGGAAGTGGAAACAGATGAGATGACACGGTTACCGACACAGCTCTGTGCTCGGGACACAGGGCGAAGCTGTGGGGCTGCTCTGGCTACGGGCAGACATTCATGACAGACCAACGTAGGAACACCATTCTGGGCGCCAAGGTCACCAGCAGCGCAGCCCAAGTGACACTTCCGGCCCAGACCTGCAGAGCCCCAGCCGCAGACAGTGCCGGGGGCGCCAGGGCTCAAGGACACCCTCCCAGCTGCGGACAGAGTGGCCAGCACCCAGGACAGCCCACGGTTGCCCACGAGGCCTCTGCCTGGACACTCCTGTTCCAAGCCCCAGGTCCCAAGCAGGAGACCCCAGGACACACCGGCTGCTCACCTGGCCATGGCTGAAGAACAGCAGGGCTCCCGAGCACATGAGCTCCCGGGCCTCCATGTGCTTGCTCTGTGACATGTACCTGCAAGAGCGGGGCAGCGGTCAGGCTCACTGCCCAGGACACGACGCTGCGCTGCGTCCCCAGTCTAACGCACCCTCTCAGGGTCCCTACCGAGCCCGGAAGCTGCGGCGTGGGAGGCCGAATGCAACAGACACCGTGAAAGCCTCTACAGCAAGCACGATGACACACACGCACCTCTGCCAACAACGGTGCCACGCGAGGACATCCCCTGACTCAGCCGCCGCTGACCTGCATGGAGTCCCTACTGTCAGGGACTCAGGCCTGGGGGCCCAGCACACCCGGCACCCTTATAGGCCAAGGGCCAGAAGCAGTGGTTCCTGGACCGACGGAAGGCTGGGGGCGGCTCCCATCGGTACGACAGGCCTTGCCATGGCGGCAGGTGCTGCAGGAAGGGCGGGGCAACCAAAGGTCAGAACTGCACGCTGGGGACAGCAGACAGCAGAAGCTCCAGGACCGAGTCTTTCTGGGGGACAGTATCATTGTGAACGCGCCGACTCTTTCGGCATGCCCTGCACCCTGTGCTCCTCACTTCCCATGGGAGGTAGAGGCCTGGGTGGGCACCGTCAGCCCTCTGACCGGCACCACCCTCCCGCTCTGAATGCTTTTCTTACAAAGCACAGGAGCGGGGACAGCTGGCTTCCTGAGCTGCGGCAGGATGGGCACAGAGCGGCCAGAGCCTGGCAAGTAACTGCACGGGACAGGGAGGGCAGTGTGCGTCCAGGGGAGCAGAGCTGGACCTGAGAGTGTCAGCTGGCGGGACAGCTTCCCAAAGGCTGGCTCAGGGCTACTGCAGCCACAGGCGCTGCCCAGGGCACTTAACTCACGGGCATACACTGACCTCAGTGACCATCAGAAAGGGTCACAACCGTGAATGGCTCATGCGCCCCGGGCCAGAAGGAACCAAACAAGCAAGACACAGAGGGCAGCACCGTGAACACCAGTGCTGGCCGCTGCGCCTGCCTCGTGTCCGGGGCTGGACCAACTGGTCAGGCGAGAATGCCCACAGCTGGCTGCTCGGCTCTGCTCACCACACCCAGGCCTTTCCCTCAAAAAGGCTCTGCAGCCACACCCCAAACAGCCCCATCCCAGCCAGCAGCCGGGGATCCAGCCGGCCTGGACATGGCCCCCAAGGGGGAGCCTATGTGGCTGCACATAGGGGGGGACGCGGAGAAGAGCCTGCTCCCCAGGAGACACAGCCATTGGCCCGCGGCTGTGCAGAGCCTCTGCTCGCAATGACACGCACGCACAGCCACACCAGCCACGCCATCCTAAGACCCGTCCTGTGGGACAGGCCTACATACAACCTGGCACCACCGGTTTTCCCAACAAGCACGCAGAACACTCGGCCCCATGTTGCCGTCTGCAAGGACGCACCTAAGTGACAATCACAGCAGCTGTCTCGGCTTATGTGTGACACCACACTCGACTCTTCTACCTGAGGCAGCAACTGTAACCTCTTAGAAAACCAGATGAAGGAAGAGAAGTCCCCAGGGACGTAAACCAGCCCTGGGATAATGGAGCTGCTTCGACACAGCCCCTGTGGCCCGCTCAGAGCAGGGGCGCCTGGGGAGGGCAGGCGGGAGGGCGGGAATGGTGACAGCCCCACTGAGCACACACAGATCAAGAAAAGCTGGAAAATACGAAATAGAGACAGGCAGCTATGAGAAAAAACCCATGTGCTTGTTTTGGCACTGCAGAATTCTGGGAGCAGGACAGAAAAGCCTCCAGCACCTTCCCGCGCTGGTGCCGTCTGCCAGCCCATGACCCCCGACGGCAGCAGCTCACCCTCACCCACAGCGCCGCGTCTGTGCAGTTATTCGTTTGCTTTGCTCTTATTTTCAAAAGGGCACCGTGGAGGGAGAAGACCCTTCGTCCCTCCCCTTAAACCTACGACTAGTGGGTCATCTATAACCCGACAAGGGTTGCCCTGCTCAGCGCACTGGCACACCGGATGGCGCACACGACACCAGCAATCCAGGAGCAGGGCGTGCTGGCCAAGGGTAGGGGCGGCAGCCACACCGTCACCTGAGGACCCAGCTCCTTCCCCCGGCCGCATCCCACCACCACAGTGGTGGTGCCTGAGGCCCAGGCGACCCAAACACAGTGGGGACTCCCACCAGCCCAGTCACCCCCACCCCTCCAAGTTCTCAGGTGAAACACAAGCTTGTGCTAGAGCTCCACCTGCTGGAAGACAAAAGTGAGCTCTACCTTCCAACACGCTGACCTGTTTGTGTTCCAGCAGCACCTAGTTAGACACATTCACCACTTCAAATGCACCAGCACACGCACAGGCCAGCCTGCAGCACCAACGACGGAGGCCACACGACAGCACAGAGAGAAAGGACAGTCTTTAGAAACCAACTCCAAGTCACGGAAGACTGAGACCTAAATGAGAGCAGTCATGGAGAAACTCAGTGATACAGGAAACCTCAGAAAGGCAGTTCAGCGAGCTCAGGGGTAACATTAAAGAACACAAGGAGTCCTCTCCCAGAGAGGCTGAAACTATGAAAAGAACCAAACAGAAATTCTGCCGCTGAAGAGCTCAATAAATGAGGTGAACGCATTAGACAGTACGGGCAACGGGGCAGATCCCAGGAAGACAGATTCCAGAAATGATTCCAGTGGAAGAGGAGGACTAAGGTTTTTAAAAAAGAAAGAACTCTACAAGAACTATCTGACTTCATCAGAAAGGGAGACATAGGATAACGGATATCCCAGAAGGAGAAGAGACAGAAAAAGAAACAGAGGCCTAGTCAAAGAAATAATCAATGAGAACTTCCCAAATCTAGGGGAGAAGCTGGAAATTCAGGTACAAGAAGCCAACAGAACAACTAATTATCTCAACGCAAAGACACAGTATATTAAGACTGTCAAAAGTTAATAACAAAAAGTTCTAAAGGCAGCCAGGAAAAAAAGACAGTAACCTACACAGGAACCCCATTAGGCCATCATCAGATTTCTCAGCAGAAACCTTGCAGGCCAGGAGAGAGTGGGACGACATAGTCAAACTACCGAAGGACAGAAACAATCAGCCAAGAACACCCTACCCAGCAGTTATCCTTCAGATATGAAGAAGAAAGAAAGATGTTCCCAGACAAACAAAAACGGCGGGAATTTACCACCACAAGACCTCCATTACAAGAAATGTTTAAAGGAGCTCATCACCTGATACAAAAAGACAAAATTATACAAAACTTTAAGTAAAGTGACAGACAGGCAGAAGCAGAAAATTACAACTTTGATTTAGGATAGGGTGCTAAACAATTATGGCAGAGAGGGTAAAGGGGGGAAAAACAATAAAAGTAACTACAGCTGCTTCAACTTTTTAAGAAATACACAACACAAAAAGAAATAATCTGTGACAGCAAAAATATAAAAAGGGGGAGAAAATGAACAGAACTTGTATAGGCAAATGAAGATAAGACGCTACCAGAAGAGAAAGAACTCTTTTATCTATGAAACATGTTATACAAACCTCATAGTAGCCACAAAACAAACATCCAGATCTGAGACGTGAATCACACAAAAAGAGGTAACAGAAGAACATTGTAGAAAACTACTGACCTAAAAGAGCATACAGAAACATGAGGGGAAAGAAACAGAGATACAGAGGCATCAGAAAACGAAAGGTAAAATGGCTATAGTATGTTCTCATACATCAATAATCACCCTAACAGTGGACTGAACTCACCAATCAAAAGGCACAGAATGCTGGGTGAATTAAAATACAAGACCCGACTATATGCTGCCTCCAGGTGACCCATCTCAGCTCCAAAGACAAACACAGGCTCTAAGTGAAGGTGTGGAAGAGGCTACTCAAGCAAATGGCATCAAGAAGAACGTGTGTGCATCTGTACTTGTATCAGACAAAACAGACTTCAAGACAAAAAAAAGAACGAGAGACAGATGGACATTTTATGAGAAAGAGACAATCCGTCTAGAAGAAACAACATTTATTAATATATATATGCACCCAACGTAAAAGCACCAAAATACATAATTCAAATATTAACATACTTAAAGATAGAAACAGACAATAAACACAGTAACAGATTTTAACATCCCACGTACCCCAATGGACAGAGCATCCACATAGAAAGTCAGTAAGAAAACATTGGCCTTAAATGACACATTAGGCCAAATGGACTTAACAGGTATTTTAAGAACTTTCCATCCAAAAGCGACAAAAGACACATTCTTCTCAAGTGCATATGGAACATTCTCAAAGACAGACCATATGTTGGGAGACAAAACAAATCTCAATTCATTTAGAAGACTGAAATAATATCAAGCATCTTTCCCAACCACAACAGTATGAAATTAGAAATCAACTAACAAGAAGAAAGCTGGAAAAATCACAAAATGTGGAAATGACACATCCTACGGAACTACTGAGTCAATGAAAAATAAAAGAAATAAACAAAAGATACATAAGGACAAATGAAAGTAAGACACACCAAAGAGGTACCAAGAGGGAAGCTTATGGCAATACAGGCCTACCTCAAGAAAAAGAAAAATGTCCCCTTAATTCCTGATGTTACACCTTAGGGAACTAGAAAAAGAACAAATGAAGCTCGAAGTCAGAAGGAGGAAGGAAATAATAAAAATCAGAGCGGAAGTAAATTAAATAGAGTCTAAAAAGACAATAGAAAAAAATTAATGAAATGAAGAGCTGGTTCTTTGAAAAGATAAACACAATGAACAAATCTTGAGCTAGACTCACTAAAGAAAAAAAAGAGGACTCAAATAAAATCAGAAATGAAGGAGGAGAAGTTACAATGAATGCCAAGAAATACAAAGGATCGTGAAAGGCTACATGCCACCAAACTGGACAAGGCAGAAGAAATACACAAATTCTTAGAATCATACAATCTTTCTAGATTGAATCATAAAAAATAAAAAACATGAGCACATCAATCAGTAGTAAGAAGACTGAATCAGTAATCAAAAACCTCCCAACATACAAAATTCCAGGACCAGATGGCTTCAATAGTGAATCT